CTCGGCGCATTAAAACGACGTATGGCTGAAAAGTTGCGGCTGGGGGGGGGGGGTAAACTGCACTCTCACCACGCCCTGGGCCCAACCCAAATTAGCATACCGCGGCGCGGACGTCGGGCAGGTGGACGAGCGCGCAGACGAGAAGGTACACGGCGATGCTGAACACGCCACCCATTCGGAACGCCATTCGAGTTTGACGAAGGAGGCTCGGGATCCAAAGACGCGATTCCTTCATTTAGCAAGCATTGGATGCTACTTTAGAGCATTTCCGGTTGTATTTAGCATTTAAATTTAAAATCCTAGTGCAAATCACGGTTTGCCAGCGGTACTAGGCTGTTAGTGTGGGGATTTTTAGCAGGGGAAACTGAATTGTGTTTTTTTCTGCCTTTACCTACCTGATATGAGATAAATATCGTATTCTATAGTGTTTTTACCATATTTTGATTGCTAGGAAGTTGCGAAAAAAATGTAAAAATGTTGAAATTTTCAAATTTTTCCCTGACTTGGCCATTTTTCATACATTTTGACCGAAAATTTTAATATCGTAGCGCTTTACTGAGAAAACTTTGTCCCCCTCGTTAACAGTCCAGTACCTTGCCGCCCCTTTTCCTCAATAATCTTTGTTGGCCGGCCAGTCACCAAAAATTCGAATCCGGCTCCTTGCCTAATCCCCCACCAAAAACCCGCCCAAATTTCGGGGCGATCGAGTTTGTCCTTTTTCTGCCCTCGTCGGCCCGTTCTCGCAGGCCCATTGTGACGATATCTTGCCCCTGCATCTACCGCACGCCACCCGAGACGGCGAAGGCGCCCAATTCCGGATGGGGCACATTCCTGGCGGCAAGCAGAGTGCGGTGGAACTGTGAAGTGCAATAAAAAAGCTAAAACTTTTCGGAATCGATCCCTACTAGGCTACGACAGGCGAACTGCTTCAAAGCGTCGGCAGCCGAACTGCTTCAGGTCGTCGACAGCTCGGAACTGCCTCAAGTCGCCGGCAAAAAGCTGTGAAATGCATTAAAAACGGCTACAACCTGCTATCACCATCCCCCCGAACTGCTTCAAGTCGTCGACAGCTGAACGACTTCTAGTCGGCGAAAAACAGTGCAACTAGCAGGACTGTGAAATGCACTAAAAACGACCAAAACTGTGTCACCAATCCTTCGCGTTAACTCGGTTTTGCCGGCTCTGAACTCCTTGGAGTCGCCGGCAAAAACGCGAACTAGCCGAAAACCTTAGCGAACCGTTTGTGGTAAGCTAGCAGCGATTCCTGAGTCCTTCAGAAACGGTGCGTAGGAAAGTTTGGTATTCCCCGCAACCACCCTCCCCACCCCCCGCTAATAGTCCAGTACCGAGATGATCATGGTAGTTCGCAAAGACCCTTTAGGAATTGTAGATTTTCAAGTAGCAGATATTCTTTTATAGAACAAGCGCACAAAAACCCTGGACAAGCTAGCAAATACCATTTTGGCACCTCGCGCAGCGTTCTCGTCCATAGTCTGCCATCGTACCCGGTCATTTCCTCCCTTGCTCCTTCTCCTCGTCCTTCTCATCGACCGCTTCCCAGCCATGTATGTTCCGATGGATTGGGCGGCTTGATCCTTTGTGAAAGGAGCCCTAAAAAGGGGTCGATGTCCACTCATATCCCATCCTCTCCTCTGCCATTCGCCCCCCAGATCGTCAGGAGCCCCCTTTTTTGACTGCTGCCGGCAGCTCCCGGATTGTCGATTTGGGCGGCGCCAATTTTTTATCCACGCCTGGAGCTCGCGTGAAAAATAACCTTAACGGGGCGTTGAAGTGTGTAAATCCGTAGGCTAGCTAGCGAAGACTATCAGTGAATTTTTTATTTAGGTTTATATTGTAGAGCTCGCAGCCGTTTGAAAAGCATTAAAAGGGCGAAAACTGAGGGCAGGCTAGCCGAGACCACCGGAGGAATTTTCTGGGTCTGTCCAAGGCGAGCAATCAGAAGTCACTCGGAATTTTTTAATAGAGCTAGAGCAAGCTAGCATTGGTTTTTTGCGGAAAATGGTAGTTTTAATAGAATTTGAAGTCACGAGGCTATCGACAGGTTAGCAAGAAGAGACCAGAATCATGGTTCTTGGCTAGCTCAAGCTTGTACTTAATTAAGCATTTTAAGCTCAGGCTTGAGCTTTAACTTAGATCTTGTTCAGGCTTAGGCTTAAGCTACCCTGCCAGACCCAGACCACAAAAAATCACTCGTGTTTCCCGGTGTCTTCGTCGGGCCCGATCGTGTGAAAGTGAGACAAGATGCTAATCGAAAATGAGTTGAGCTTCACTGCCGAACTTGATCCGTCGATAAGTGTGTAATGGAAAGGGAGAGAGCGAGAGTGAGAGAGATAGGAAGGGAGAGTGAGAGAGAGAGCGAGAGATAGAGAGAGAGGAGAGAGAGAGAGAGAGAGAGAGAGAGAGAGATGGAGGGGAAACGGCGGAACCGAATCGGAAGGTGTTCGGCACTGCCCTCCGCATAGGGGCTATCGTTTGCTAAACTGCGCCCTGTAAAGTGGCTACGCGTCAAGGTTGGCGTTAGCGGCAGAACAAAGCCATTGACCGTATGAGTTTTTTGGGGAATTTACGGCCTGTTGAAGGGTGCTACGGTCGATGAGCAAACTCGAGAGAGAGAGAGGGAGAGAAAGAGAGAGCCTGGGTTTGATTTTATGAATTAGCCGAAACCGAAGCCAAATCCGACGTTGTAAGCTTAAATAAATGACTTTTGACCCAAGCTAAGCTTAAGCCTAAGCACTACGTTACTCAAAACTCAAGCCCCGCACAAAGCCCAAGATCAAGCTTAAACTCAGGCCTAAGTCCAATCCTAAGCTAGGCCTAAGCTAAGTCTAAGCTAAGCCTAAGCTAGGTCTAGGCTAAGCCTATGCTAAGCCTGAGCTAAGTCGAAGCTAAGCCTATGCTAAGCCTATGCTAAGCCTATGCTAAGCCTAAGCTAAGCCTAAGCTAAGCCAAGCCTAAGCAAAGCCTTAGTTAAGCCTAAGGTAAGCTTAAGCGAGGCCTAAGCTAAGCCTAATTTGTGCCTAACCTAAGCTTAAGCCTAGCGAAAAACCTCTGTGCAGTGACGGTCAGTCGGTTCGGAACCGGGTGCACCTGTGCGTGCGCATTTTTTCGATCTCCGTGCAAGTTTTTCAGCGAACGGTGGCCGTGCTGGGTGGTATCTGATCTGCCATCGCGCGCGCCTAAGGAGGAGGTCGAGGAGGAAGAGGAGGAGGACGAGGTGTAGGGCGGGTCGAGTGGATGTGTTCTTCTTCTCACATACCCCCCTCATCCACTTCTATAGCCTCAGGGCATACCCCGGGCAGCACAGACATACAGCTTGGCGATCGGATTCCCAGCTGATACTTCTGACTCTCGATTAAAGTGCGTCGACTTGCAATGAGGAGAGTTTTGGTGGGTTGATATTTTTTAAAGTTTATTTTTGGCGGAAATTTGTGTTATTTTTATTTGACTGTACTCGATACTAGAGTATCATACTCTAAATTCGCCATTTTACCATTTTTTCAAATTTTTTAAGCATTTACCTTAAATGTCTCGAAGTCGCCGCGTTGAAAGATGTATTATACCATTCGCTACGGGACCCTTATTTAAAATTGTTGTAGGTGTGGGTGTGCGTGAGTTCTTGAGTGCTGGCTCACTCCAAGGGAATACCTTGCGAGAGAGTCGTTTGACACCTGAATTGATTTGGACAAAAGAAGAGAGAACAAAGTATTTATCTAAATAACGGCAATAGCCTAAAATAACACAAGCAGCCAGACAAGACGGGCGAAGTGGAAGGAATGAAAAAGACACGCACAAAAATGGGGTTTGTGCCGGGGGACGGGGAGGGCACACAGGCGTAGTGCAAAGGCGCCGTACAGACGCGTAATGATCAAAGACTTTCTTTCTTGCCTCCGCAACAAAAATAAGAACCTAGCTACCGTACTCCTGGAAATCCCCTCGGGACCCGCTAGCATACTGTAGTCCTATATAATTCCTTCAGCCTCCTTGCTAACTCGATCGTTTCTTCCAAGTACCTTTCAAAATGGGAGAACTTTCGATTTTGTAGTCTTCCGGAAATATGTGCATTTAGTATCATACCGTAGTCTTCGTAATCTACATCAGACCTACCGTAGTCCACAGCCCGAAAATCTGAATTTTTCGACTTTCCGATTTTCAAAATCAGCAGACAGGCTGGGTAATATTTCCGCAAATTCCAAGTTGCACCTGGTTACAACGCTCGTTCGTAGTATTTTATCGGAATTCTGCCGTATTGTCCTATCCTATATATCTTATACGTATCTTCTCTACCGTAATCCACTCTGGAAAGCACTTATCTATCCTAATCCAAACTCTAAAGCAGTTTTGCAACTTGTTACGGCACTTTTCGGTCAACCACTAAATTCCCACGCTGAACCAATTTACGCCACCCCCTCGCCTATTAATGCGCAGTCGATACGGTATCTATTTATTTTTTGAAACGTAATTTAGAAATTTCCCTATTTCTGCCCTCATCACCGTAACCGCCCATTCGTAATTCTGCGATATTGTGCATCAGTGGCAATGCGACACTTTCCACCTTCCTCCCCTTTCCTCACCGCCTCAAACGCTTGCCATAGCCAGTTCGAAGCGTTTGAAAGAACATTTCGAGTCTTCCGTCGGCTCACCCAAGCGCTCCTGCGCAGCCGATTTTCTCTCGCAGTTCGCGCCTCCCATGCACGGCAGTGTAATCCGTTTAAAGGGGATGTGACAGACGGATTGGTAAAAAAAAAGCTTTGGGAAAGTGAGACATTGATGCGCACTGTTGCGTAGTCGTCAATTTAAAGAAAACGTGCCAATGGAGCGGTCTGTTACGATTTCTCTCTCTTCCTTTGTCTCTCGCTCGCACTCTCTCTCACTCTCTCGCGCTCGCTCTCACTATCGCTCTCGCACGCTATCTCTCTGTCTCGCTCTCTCTCTCCCTCTCTCCCTATCTCTCTCTCTGTATTTTTCTCGCTCTATCGCTCCCCCCTGTCTCTGTACCAAGCCAGTTTAGCAGATTTTAACCAAAGCAGTACGATATACTTCAAATGTACGCCGAAATACAGTATACGGCATGCTAAGCCTATAGAGCACCAGCCTATCGCATCCAATTTTCAGAGCAACCCTTCAAAATACCCCAATCCCATCCTTTGATGCCCCTTTAAAAACATCTACGTCAAGCCAGCTGGCAAGATGGAAAGTGATCCCCTAAACCGATTCCCCCCACCTGGCTCTGCTTCTCCTCAAAAAACTGAAACTCCCAGTCCCTTTAATTTACCATCAATTGGAAGCCTGGGGGAGTGGATGAAGTGCTGTTGAAATCGAAAACACAAAACACGACGCAAAAAGCGATGTTTAGTGTGTGCTGGCAGTGGTGCACTCGACGCTTGCGTGCCTTGGCGGATTTGGAGGTGGTGGAGGAGGAGGCGGATGTTGTCCTCCAGCTCAGACCGGATGCAGTAGCCCTTGTGGAGGGTGAGTTATTCGGGTTTAACGGGGTTGGAAAAGATTGATTTGAGCGAGACAGATAGAGAGAGAGAGAGAGCGAGAGCGAGAGAGAGCGAGAGAGCCAGAGAAAATCAGAGCCAGCGCCAGTGTTTAAGATAAAGTGAACGAGAGAGAAAGAGAGAGAGAGAGTGCGAGGGAGAGAGAGAGAACGAGAGAAAGAGAGAAGAGAGAGCGAAGCCGTTAGAAGTCCGTTTTAAAACAATTTTTTTAGCGGAATCTCTTCCGGCCCGGTCTCCGGCTACGCAGCAGCCCCTCCCCCAGCATCTGGCTACGCGGGGCAGCGGCTACCAATCGGACTACGGTAGTCAGTCCATCCCACAGGCCCCTCAGCCAGCCGGCGGACAATATGGACAAGCCGGAGCTGGAGGATACGCCGGACCGGGGCAGATTGCCGGAATCGATGCCGGTGCTCAGGGCGCCGGATACTCGAATGGAGGCGCGGTGGCTGGAGGAAGCGATTTTGGTGAGAATTCAGCAGCGGAAGATTATTGCTTTGACACGCATCAAAGCATAATTCAAAAGCTTGAGTACTCAAAAATGCAAAGTATGGTACCATTTACCCCTTTTCGAAATCCGGGAGTGAAAATGCCGATTTTCGTTGTATACCAACTACGAGAGAATTTTGAAATTAGCATATCAGAATGCAGGATTTTTCATAAATGGCCTTAAAAACGCGCTTAAACAAGGCATAATTACAGTAAAAAATTCGAAAAACAACAAAGAATAAAAATGGCATCCATCATCCGCATGTGCAACCCACAAAAAGCCGAGCATGTCTCCACCCACCCACCTAACAATATTTAGCTGGAGGAGCAGCAGCAGCAGGAGTAGCAGGAGGAGCAGGAGCTGGAGGAGCAGGATCAGCAGCCGTCGGTGGAAATGGCGGTGGGGCGATCAATGTGGCCCCATCGAGCTTCACGAATCAGCAGCAGACGGCTGAATATGGGCAGCAGGGAGGATCGGCATTCCCGCAAGGAGCACAGCACCACAGTTTGTCCATATTTGCACTGCATTTTTCATGCGAATCCGGATGTTTTAAAGGGACTGGGAAGTGGTGGTGGAGTTGTAGATAAAAAGGTTTATATCAGTTTCTCTTTCACCCGCTCTGTCTCCCTCTCACTCTGTATCTTTCTCTCTGTCTCTCTTCTCTCTCTCTCTGTCGCTCACTCTGCGTCTCACACGCTCTGCCTCTGACTCACTTTCTCTCTCCCGCCCTCTATCGCGCTCTTTCTCTGCGCCGTTGACTACTTTTTATCACTCTTGAATTCGCAGTCTATCTCTCTTTCTCTCTCTCTCTCTCTCTCTCTCTCTCTCTCTCTCTCTTTCTCTCTCTTTACCTCTCATTCTCTGTCTCTCCCGCTCTCTCTTTCTCTCCTTCTCTTTATCGCTCGTTCCCGCTCTCACTCGACTTTCGAAAAAATCTAAGAAAAAGATATGATTACGGTAAAAAATATACCCACCATTCTCAGCTTCTTTAAAACCGCCGTTTGCTACACCGTGCTCTTCTTACCGTAGCCGGTTCCAGGCGGCCCGGTCAGCGTGAATTCCCTAGCCCCAGCCGGTCAAAAGAGCACCGAAGTGAGCGCCGCCGGCTACCAGGGAGGCTCGGAGACGTCACAACAGACCCAAACCAGCCAAACTGAGAATGAGCAAGAGACTGAGGATGAGGAGGAGGAGGACCACGGTTAGCTTTAGCATCACCCCACTCACTGTAGTCAACCCGCAAAAGCTCTTGCTCAGCTCAAAATTCACGCCAGAGCCAAAAATTTCACGCGGTTTCTCGTTCTGGGCCGGCAAAATAAAACCGGAACTTACCGGTTTCTCTAGAATTTGAAAACACGGCCTATTAATGCATGAATTTTTACTCTTCTTTTCTCTCACAGATATGGTTGGTGGAGGAGGTGGCGGATCCGTTGGCGGAGCTGGCGGAAGCACTTCCGGCACCGGCTCGAGCACCGATACAGCGTACCAAGGCAACGCTGGTGGTGGGTTGGAGTGTTTTGGAAATGTTTGGTACTACTTAACGTATTATTTAACGTGTTGTCTCACTTTCTAACCCCAGACACCTCGGCGGCTATTGCAACCGGGCAGGACGGCGCTGTGGGGTACGATGAGAGTCAGGATGGCGAGAAGGATGGTTGGTTTTTTTGGGGTTTTGGCACGTTGATAGAGTTGCTCAATTTCTCTCTCTCGCTCACTTTCTCACTTTCCCTCTCACTCTCTCGCTCTCTCTGTCTCACACTTCACCTCACCCTCTCACTCTCTGTCACCCTCTAAATCTCACTCTCTCACTCTCTCACTCTCCCTCTCACTCCCTCTCGCACTCTCTGGCTCATTCTCTCTATCACTCTCTCTATTACTCTCTGACTTTCGCTTCCTCTCTCTCTCTATTTTGCACCCAACTTACCGTACCCAGAACCTCCCGTAGTCTCTCGTAATCACTAAACCATCATACACCAGATGATGACACCCCTGTGCCGGCCACTAAAACCTCGTCGACTAACTACGCCCCAGCACCTAATACCGGTTTGTTTTGATTGCCACGTTGTCGAGCGGTGGTTATTTCATATGATTTGAAATTACAGCACCTAATAAAGCACAATATTTAGTTTTTATTAAGTTAAACAATTAAAACTTTGGTATCACATTAATTACCGAATTAAACCCACAAAAGTTAACTAAATTATGCATTTTTACGTGGTTTCGCGAATTTTTGAGCACTGTTTGGAGATCCAAAATGATACCAAATTTAACTTACTAAATTTGATCAAGTTAACGGAAAATAATTGTCAATAAATTGTATAAAGCATGCTCAATGATAACCAGGTGCCGGTGAGGACACGGCCAGCAACGACAAGGGCAGCGAGTACGACGATACTGATGACGGAACCGAGCAGCAGACCGGCGAACAGGCCACCGATTACGATTGTAATTTTTATGCAGCGTTTAAGGGCGGTGAAAGGAGAATCCATAAGATACCTTAATTTTTGAGTATTCTTCAAATCCATCCACCGTGAACTAACCTACCATGCCCCAACCCGTATTTTAGCGGAAACTAATGCCGAGCCGTCGGCCACCCCGGCAGCCCCTGCCCCTGCCACCACTACCACTGGTTCTGCACCCCCGGGTTTGGGTTTTAAACCAGGGTTGAAAAGCTGCGCCGCGATTCTCAACCCTGGCCCCTTTGGGCCCATGATATTCCTTCACTTTGCATAATTCGCCCGGGCTGCGATGAAAATAATGAAAACGCTCCCTCTGCCCCTTAATATAGACCACCACCACTTCCGGCGTATGCAAATTGTTTCCTAACAAAGAGGATGCCCGAAAATTTCACAAAAACCTAAATTTAATGTCGAAAATAAAGTATAATCTTGCAAAATCTGATAAGCTTCGTGAGTCATCCCAGAGCCATTACGCACCTAATGACGTATCATACATACCTACCAATCTATCTCTATCGAGATATCCTCCGACACGCTGACGGAAGTTGATGCAAAGTGTCATACACACACACACACACACACAGACACTATTTTCTTAAATTTAGTACGATTTAAACGATTTTTAACAACACAAAATATCTTATTTATATTTGGATTACACAATTTACAAACTTCACAAAATCACAATATTGTTTTGGTGGAAAACAAGCATGTTTTTGGTTCAACACTGGTTTTAGACTGGGGTTTCAAGGTTTTTTTTATCACCATTAGCACTCCAATACCTTAAAAATTGCAAAAATGGTCATTTCAGTAAAATTAATTTTATTTAACGTTACATTACATACGGTATGCATTACGATACGGTACGTTAATTTACAAACTTTACGCTTTACGACATGCAGTAAAACCAAAACGCGAAAACCTCATATTTTCACGTTTGAACGTTAACTAAACTTGCGTTATGGTATCCGGACACTCGATTCCGCTACGGTTGCCGTAGAAAAATCTAAATTTTCGAATTAATTTCATGGTTACAGCAACAAATGTCCAGCCCCAGGAAAACAGCAACAACTACAACAATAACAACGACCAGGGCGGCCAGGAAACCGAATATACCGGTGGGTTTGTGCTTAAAAGCCATCTGTGCCGCGCAGAA